ACGTTCTGCCTTTAGTTCATGCTAAAACAGAAGACTCTCTCTCTCTCTCATTCACCTCTCTGTTACTAAAAAAGGCAGCACCAACATCCCGAGGGTAGATCCTCCCTGGATGGCACCGCCAACTTCCAACAGCCCCCCTCCACCATGGGAGCCCACAGTCGACCCCTGGGATGACCCTCAGAGCCACCTGAAGGCCCCCGGCCAAGAATGGGCCTTCCCTCCCAGCACAGGTAATATAAGCTCCCATGCAGCTCAGCCGAAAAATAAATAGGAGATGCACCATAGATATTTACAAAGACATATTTAAAATAATATAATGAAATGTATGTGGGTATGTTTCTAGCCTCCTCTCGAATGGATGCATTCTCAGCACACATGGGAGCTACAAGGGACCCCGGTGCTCGACCTGGAAGCCCCTCAGGTAAACAGTGAATTATTTTACTGTTTTGTGGTTCTGTGCATCCCACACATTTGCAATGTAAGAACTTAATATTTTTTCGCTTTTAGATGGCGATCTGTTTGATGAGGCCATGGATGGAGGCCAGGTGAACTTGAATGGGCGAGGAGAGGGCAGTCCTGAGCTTTTTGACCTGTCACGTCTTGGAGAAAGCTTGGCTGCCCCCAGCCCTCGTTCATGCAGGACACCTGAGGCCTTCCTGGGCCCCACAGCAGCTTCCTTGGTGAACCTGGACGCCTTGATCCCAGTAAACCCCCCAGCCAAGATCATGAACCCCTTCCTATCAGGTAATATCTGTACTATTGGCTGAAGATACAATACTATTTTTGTTTTACAAGGGAAAGACCAGGGAAGTCAAGAGACTTTAATAGCTGAAACTCTAGCTTTAAATCAGTTCTGTGTAGACTGATCTATTAAAATGTTATTTTTCTCACATTCATGCAGAATCTAGAGTAAAATGTAATTCTTCATGTATTATATTGGGGCTGTGTTTGATAGTAGCACAACCATATCAATTAGTGATGTGTCGGTCGCGAACGAGCCGGCTCAAAGTAAACGACGGGAGCCGGCTCGCGCCCGCGAACAAGACATTTTTTTTTTGTAATGATCTCCGCGCTACGGGTGCTCCTTGAATGCATGCAGTGACATGTAATATCCAAGGATTAGAGACTGTTGGATGCTGCTGTTTTGAGCATTGCAATATATTTATTAGGCTCAGCAAAGATTTGTTGTCAGTTTGTATAGGTGTTGCTATTTGCTTTTTTATAGCGTGGTTCTACAATCAGAGAGTTACAAGGGTCTGTAAATGCAATGAAAACAATTGGCCACAGCAAATCATTTATATTAAAAATGTAATTTTTACTTTTGAATACTTCAGTACAAAGGATGTATTGAATAATGTAAGTGATATATATGTACACATGTAAATCATTAGTCAAAACAGGGCTACATTTGATTGAATTATAAAAGGTATATTTTGCAGATAAACCTATTCACCCCGCCCCCTTAAAAAAAACGGCTCTTTTGAACGGCTCTCGCAAAGGAACGGAGCCATAAGATCCGGCTCCCTTCAAAGAGCCATAATTCCCATCACTAATATCAATGATCCATTTACAAACTCTCGCACAACTCTTGCAGTATAATCACAGTCTAATTCACTTGGTTTGCTCACAACTCACCAAACACATGGTCCTTAAACCATTCTGTATGAAACTGACTTGCACATACGAGTAGTGTGCCTGGGCATGTGTGTGATTGTTAATGCAGAAGTGTTGAGAATATGAAAATATTTGTGGGGGAAGTATTCCTTTGGGGCAAACTTAATAGTTTTATGTTGTTTTCTTTCTGTCTAGGACTGAGTGCTCCTTCACCCAACAATCCATTCCAAACTGAGCAGCCCAAACTAACTCTGAATCAATTGGGCTCTGGCTCGATATCTTCGGCGCCTCAGGGCACTTCCCTTCCATACAGTGCCTCCTTGCCCCTGCCAATGAGCCACCAGCCTACTAGCCTCCCTATGTCCCTCACTCACCCCACCCAGCCAGGTTTCGGCCTGCCGGGGACCCTCCCTGAGCCCTTGTTGCCCTTCTCTTCAGGAAGCACCGACGGATCACAGGCTGCACAGAGCAGCCAGAACCCTTTCTTATGAGGACCAACTAAACTGGAAATATAATCTATGAAAAAGGGGAACGCTATTAGATTTTGCTCTTGAAATATAATTCTAATCAAAGACTGAACTTCAGCCCCAAGGACTTGTATGACTTCTTAGTCGTTTTTATAATGTGTTATAATGTAGTTACCCTTAGATTGATGCAAGCTGGTTCGACTCTTCTCTGCAACGATCTGTCCTGCTACTCTTGTCATGATTGCATTAGTAGGGTATATACAATTGATAACACCTTTTTTATTAGAAACCGTTAGTGTCATGTTAACCTTCTTTAACCTTTTGCGAATTCAATTTAGACAAAACATACACAAAAGCATAGTTTGTTAATTGTTCACTTAGCCACAATTACCAGGCAAATTGACTATGGCTTTAGAAGAAGGCAACACGTCTTCTGCTCACTACTTCTGCTGTCATAGGCACATAGAATTTATTTTATTCCTGTGAAGAGACAAGAGAGTTGTATGGATTGTGGATTTCTGTTGGCGCCAGAACTGATGAAAAACATCAGTGTGTACATTATTATACTCTAGTGAAATTAATTGCTGGGCTTAACTGAATGAAATTATAGTTTTGGAGGACTGGAAGTGCTTCAAAATTCACAATAAGCAAGGAAACATGAGAAAAATGTAATAATTAAGAGTTTAATTAATTGCTTGTGATCCACTGAATCATCAAATATAAGGGTGTAATTGCAACACTGCGTCATTCTTTAGTTGGTTTTATTATTTTGTATGTTCTAATTTTTCTGTGATATCAATGCATTATAATGAAATTATGAAATCTCAGCTAGTTGTGGTTCCAGTATTTGTTAACTTTATGCCCCCTGCTGGTAGTGACTAATTGCCACTATGCTTCATCACTTACAGAAATCACTGACAAGCCAAGCTCTTCTAGCAATTCAAATGTAATTGTAAGAGACTATTTTGTTTGAATATAAAACAAGTCTTTACTTAGACATGAGAATCGAACTGCAGTTAGTCATACATTCCAGCAGTATACCAGTATAACAACTACTAACTGTAGGTAAGATCTACAGTATTATTTGGTTTAACAAGAGTTATGGTACTTAATAATCACAACAACATCCTGCCATAATATCACTAATATATCTCCTTTCCCATTCACACTGTTGAACAGTAGCCATATGTATATGGAACCAAAGATACAGCACCAGTTCATCAGTTTAACACATCATTAAGTCCATCCAAACTGTGTGTTCATTGTCTTTGCACACAGATATTTCAGACATATCTTGCCAAAAAGCTAGATCAAGTCCTGTGGGAGGAGCATCTTTTCATAAGGAAAAAACATATGATATTTCACTTGACTATGATGGACTCCAGCCAGCTCAGCACCTCCTGAAGTCCCTGTCCAGACCGGGCACTGAGTTCCTGTGTTGTGATCGGCTGAGTAGCAGATGCAATGATGTCATCCATTCTGAACAGCGACTTTATCTCCACGAGACTCATAGTGCAGGGCATGTCCCTGGACAAGGGTAAAAATAACAAATAAAATGAGAAAATACACAATGGCACAAACAAACCCCACCAAGAGACGGAATTAAGATAATGGATACATATTGTGTTCCTTCTGCTGACACTGACAACTTACAGCTATGGCAAGTACATTTAGTGAACAATGTGTGTGTGAATGTCACCTCTTGTTGAATAGAATAAGCACAGAGGCATTGTGCAAAGGCTCAGCAGAGAGAACTGACAGCAGCTGGATACAGGAGGCGGATATCTGAGCAATGTTGGCTGAGTCCACCATGAACTATGAGAAAGCCAAAAAACAAAACAAATAATGCGACCAGTCTTTTGTCAACTGTTGCAAATTAACACAGTCAAAATAACATACAATTACAGATGAGCAGTCTTTGAAGTAACTCGGCCATATAGGACCCATGCAGCCTCCCAGTTCTCTCAATGTCACCTTCTTCTTTTTCAGTTTCAGGTCTGTCAGGTTGGTTCCTACCTGTGGAGGTTACAAAAAAATGAGGGCATTACATGGATGGCCTTGTCTCATAAAAACTGCGAATATATTAAAACTACCTTTCAATAACACTTACTGTAGGCAGGGTAGAAGGAGGTTCGCCCAGTTCCTCCAATCCATGCAAACTGAGCTGTAAACTAAATATGTCATGGAAGATATCCACTGGTGATAACCATCAGCTTTAGAGAAAGCAACTTATTTCGATATCATATTTAAACAGTTTATGATATATCATACGACATGTTTGATCCGTTATAAAAGGCACAGTTTGTACTAATCGTTTTGATACATGTGCATGTTATTTAAATACAGTGTGACAGTATCGTGTCATGTATTTGCTCAAATCCAGTCTACAAATATTGTTTTGCAACTAAATGTGTACTTTTCCGGTGCAAGATTAGATATTAGGCCACATCCAATAATTATCTACAAAACGCTTGTATAGTTTATGGATTACTTACTCTGTAACTTGCCTAGAATTAATAACGTTACACCAGCTCATCAAGCTAAATTAGTCTACGTTAGCTAGATAAACCAGTTAACTTTAATTGTTATTTTCCACCTTTTCTCAAATGTAGTTCAAAACATTCTACTGTGCACAAAGGATATTTTGTAGACGTTTCAGCAACAATGTTTTCCCGACGCCAGTTGCTCCAAGAAGCAGACAAATGTCATTGCTGTTCATTTCTGTTCAGGAGCATACCGAAGCTAATGCTAGCATGTAGTCGTTATAGCTTCACTTGCCACCAAGGCAATACTCACGTGGCCGTCATTCGTTGCTGTGATAGGACGAAATATGAATGAGTCACTTCTGTCTGTTTTTCTGATTGGTGACCATTCCACTACGGAAGAAAAAATATCACCGTCCCCGGAAGCTGTCAAAAACCTGGTCAAAACGCCCCCCTAACTTCGGGCCCTGCAAGTGCAGTTTGTTGTTAGCATTAGCAACACTTTATCCTGTCAAATTGGTGGCAATAATAACCATGGAAGCTAAATTAAAGAAAGAGCTGGGGACAGCCATGCTGAAGTCAACGGGTCACTCGGGAGGTGGATGTATCAGCGAGGGCCAGAGTTATGATACTGACAATGGGAGAGTGTTTGTGAAGATCAATCACAAGAAAGAGGTATGTGATTATCATTGTTTTATATTTGAATTAAATATACTGACTTGTATTCAGTTGGTACGTTCTCAGTAGATAGAGCCTCTTAAAGCTAGACAGACTGCCACTAAACTTTATGCACACATTGTGAAATTATTAAGACTACAATAATTATGTATCATGCTAAATAATGTTTAGATCTGTGCTACTGGACTTGTCACCAGCCTAAACTCATTTTTTATTTAGGCCAAATTGATGTTCGATGGGGAGATGGCCAGTTTGGAAGCAATTTTAAAGACAGAAACTGTCAAAGTCCCCAAGCCTGTGAAGGTGATTGAGCTTGACACAGGAGGATGTGCATTTGTGATGGAACATCTGGACATGAGAGGTCTCACCAAGTAAGAGCTACCTCCGACAATGTGTTTGGTACTTTATCAGTAAAATAGAGGGCAAAATGAAAATGTATATCTGTGGCATTTAATTGGTAAAGGGGACCAGTATAAAAATACTAACTCTAGGTAAGATATACAGTATTATTTGGTTTAACAAGTGTTATAGTACTTAATAATCATAGCATCCTGACATGATATCACTAATATATCTCCTTTCCCATTCACACTGTTGAACAGTAGCCATATTTATATGGAACCAAAGATACAGCACCAGTTCATCAGTTCAACACATCATTAAGTCCATCCAAACTGTGTGTACATTGTCTTTGCACACAGACATTTCTGACATATCTTGCCAAAAAGCTAGATCATCATGAAAATATAGCCGTAAATGTATCTTTTTTTTTTAAACAATACTTTACTTATTTCCAAACGCAATGTTTAGGTACTCAAAGGACCTAGGCGAGCAGCTGGCAGAGCTGCATGTTCACAACAAGAGACAGTTGGACAAATTAAATAAAGAGCAGCAGACAGTGGGTAATTCAACTTAACATCACCTTCATACATTCAAAAAATACACATCCACAGTAAAATCAATCATCCTTTTTCCATTACTACACTGAATAACAGTTGCTTCTCAAAATATGATGCTATTTTAATGCGGATTGTATAATGTATTTTACTGTACACAGGAAAAGGAGCTGGACAAATGGAGGTTGCTGTGGTTGACACATTTGGCTTCAGTTTACCTACATGCTGTGGATATCTACCGCAGGTAAAAAATACAAATCTGTCAAAACGAAACTGTCTTGTAATCTCTAATATCTATGTGTAGTACATTTATGTGCTGTTTAAGTGTTACTGCATGTATTGTTTCCCCTTATGTCTACAGGAAAATGAGTGGCAGGATGACTGGGTGATGTTTTACTCCCAGCAAAGGCTGCAGCACCAGCTTAACATGGTGGAGAAATCCTATGGAGACAGACAGGCCAGTGAACTATGGGCCAAGCTACAGGTGCACCTCCACTTTGACCCCATCAAGAACAAAATATATTGTATACATGTCCCTATGTTTGTATCAATGATTTGACAGTGCAACTTACATATTGTGTCTGTTATTTACAGCTGAAGATCCCTCAGTTTTTCACAGATGTGGAGATTGTCCCTGCTTTCCTCCATGGAGACTTATGGGGAGGCAACGTGGCACAGTGTGGAGAAGACCCAGTTATCTTTGACCCAGCCTCCTTCTATGGTCATTCAGAATATGAGCTGGGTATTGCCGGGATGTTTGGTGGCTTTGACAGCTCTTTTTACTCTGCTTACCATGAAAAGATTCCTAAAGCACCAGGTTTTGCAAAGAGAAACCAGCTTTACCAACTCTTCCACTATCTGAATCACTGGAACCACTTTGGTGGGGGATACAGAGGCTCTGCAATAAGTATTATGAAGGACCTTCTGAAATAACTGCATTAACAATAACTTGTAGAAAACTTTAGTGTTAAACTCACACTGGTCCCTCTACTGTATTTCGACAGATGCACATTTTAAGAGAGCTTGTATGGCTAAGTGTTGAGACATACATTATATTCAAACAATGCAATGTTTATATTGTGTGTAGACAATACAGAACCAACAACACAAAACAATTCTGCTTTGCCTGCTACACCTACAGTACCAGTCTGCTTCCAAAATATGACAAACAGAATTCACATCTTCTAATTATCTTACATTGTATGTTTGAACAAGAATATACTGTATACTTTAAAGCAGGGGTCACCAACCTTTTTTAGGGTGAGGGCTACTTTTAAAAAATAAAACAAGTCGGGGGCTACTTTTACTCCTCTTTTCTTTTCTTTTTTTGCAGTGTATATATTTAGCACATTTTAACATTATGATATTCTGACCTTTAACCTTTGTTTGCTGTTTGGGTCTGTGGTACCCGTTTTCAGTGTTTACTAAAAGAACATGTATGCAATCTAATTATTTTAACCTGCTTTATTTGGGGGTGGACGGGCCTCACCTCCTCCAGGGGGGTCCTCACCTCCTCTAGGGGGGTCGGGGGGCATGCACCCCCAGGAAGATTATTTTTTAATGTTGAAGTGAAATGCATCAATCTGGAGCACTTTGAGCACAACATGAATTGATGGATACAGCTCTCAACACTCAGATGAAAGAGAGCTGTATACTTTTCAATAATCCAAACATCTTTAGAATATGATCACAACCAATAACAAATCATTTAAACTGGTTTATTCTTATCTTATGTTACCTAGCATTTTTTCTTTTTATGTATGCTTATTTTACTGATCACTTCCCTTTCAAACTGTTTTTTGATTTTTTGTACTGTCCTAGTACACATTGGAATGATTTCTTACTTTATCTATATTAAATAGATAAAGGTATGCTCTCCCTAGCTCTCTCTCTCTCCCTCCCCCCCCAGCTCTCTCTCTCTCTCTCTCTCCCCCTCTCTCTCCCCCTCTCCCTCCCTCCCTCCCTCCCTAGCTCTCTCGCTCGCTCTCTCTCTGTCTCGCTCGCTCACAGAGGCTGTGAGCTCCTCCGTGGCGATCGACGGCTTGCGTTAAAAAATAAAAATAAACATATTTTTAAAGTGGGGGGGCACAAACGGGATTTCGAAAAGAGCGGGGACATTTCCCCCCTGTCCCAGGTGGAAATTACGCCATGCGTGTGTGCGTCAAGTGCAATAAAGATATGCAAGTTGCAACACACAGAGTAAAACTCTGCCCCCCATGTGTTGTATAGGCTGGCATGATAGGCTAATGTTGTGTAGATTCTGCCAGAAGGGAAATCAGCGGGGAGGTGCCACATTGCTTTTCTTCCAGACTGCAACGCTGGTCCCGCAAATCAAGCAAGAACGTGATTGGTAGATATTAATTTTGGGGGTGGGGGCAGGAGGGGTGTTAGATAGATATAGAGTTGTAGTAAGTAGATAGAGTTCGCTATGATTTAGGTTTCGTTTATGCATAGGGTAGATTCTTTTAATTACATTTCCTTTTTTGTTTTGTGTATTTTATACATTTTGGATTTGCTTGGCGAGCTATTTTTAGAACATGCCCCGCGGGCGACTCACGTTGCCTCTGCGGGCGACCAAGTGCCCGCGGGCACCGTGTTGGCTACCCCTGCTTTAAAGGGCCCATGTCATGGCCATTTCCACTGATCATAATTACATTGTTGAGGTATACTAAAATAGATTTATACTGTGCAATTTTCCAAACTCACATTGGTTTCGCATACAGCATCTCTGTCAAGCATGTGTATTCAGCAGTATTCACTTTCTCCACTAAACGACTCGTTGGAGCTCTTGCCCCCCCCTCCCTGTGAGCCTAGTGTGCTCCGATTGGTCAGCTCGGCCACTCGTTCTGATTAGTCAACCACCAGAGAGGCTGCGCCCATGTCAGTGCTTTTCCCGGCTGCTCTCAGCGTAACATCAGTCTTATCATGGCGTCGGTACAGCGGTATATTTTATATACATATATATTTTTAACTGTTGTTATAGAAGAGTGTGACGGCCCCAGGGCCTTTGTCTTACGATGGGGTGGAGCTGAAGAGGCTAATCAGCACGATCACGGACACCTCCGGACACAGTCTCTCTCCAAAGCGGCTGCAGGAAGACTAACTCTGCGATCCTCTCAACCACCTGTCTCTGCATTTACCACAATAAATGTGCCGTGGTTTTGTAAACTCGTGTATGTCTCCTTGTCTTTCCGTTGTGGCCTACGAGCTACTCTCATAACAAAGAGTAAGTTATTTTTACCCGTTATAAACTACTACTGTTTGATGAGAAATCAAATCATGGTTTGCTATATATGAATTCAGGGAAGAAAGGATAGGCCTACTAAGTATTTCCATTAAACTTTATTTTAGAAATGTACAAAATGAACATAAATATACATATATACACGGTATATCATCCATTCCTCCTCCTCGCATCTTGCCTGCGCACAGTCGGTGCGGTGCCTTTTAGCACCCTCAGTAGTAGTAGAATCCCTTCCCCGTCATGGATTGTCCGCCAGGATCTGGCTGGACGAAATCAAATGCAAATCACAAAATATTAGAGAAACTTAGTTGTTTTAGATTCGTTAGTAGTAGTTGTGTAATGAACAGCTTGCCTGCTAATATGCTAACCTAGCTTTGTTTACCTTGGTAGCTAACACGATATGAACGTTAGCTTGGAGGAAAGGCAACTATAATGCAGTGTAATAAAACTACTATGAACAAAAGCTAGTGGTTCATATTAGGCTAGCAATAACGTGTTTATAATTGCAATCGTATACGGGTATTCTGCTACGTTCGGTCATACAATGTAACTTGCATGAATACATTGTTTTGCGCTAGCATACAGCTAGCCTCGTTAGCTACATGCAGTATATGTACGGTCACAATGTACGGTAAATCACAGTACAGTATACTGTATGAGTATTCCGTGTGTGTGACTGCAGACATTCTCCTGCCATGACAAACATGTAAGGCCATCTGCTGACATTGTAGTTGATATATTTAAACGCTAGCAACGTAGCATCACAAAAATGTTTTTCTGACCAAAACTAGCTCTAGCTCCGTGTGTTAGATCGCTACGCCAGCTATAATGTAATTACGTTTCGCGACTGACCGGCAAATCACCCGGAGTATACTGTCAATAGGTATTTTGTGTGTGAATGCAGACATTCTCCTGCTATGAGATACATGTATGCAAGGCCATCTGCTGATATTAGAGTTGATATATGGAAACTCTAGCAACTTAGTTAGCACAGTTAGCACTGTGTCAATGGCTTAGCAGTCCAACACAGTTTACACATTTAAACAGTCTTGTTTGATAAATACACAAATAACAATGCAAACTTACAGGTTGTATACCCAGATCTTCCCCTGCTCCAAACGGTCCAAACAAGCTGTGCATATCCGGCCTCAAACTGGGCAATGTTTTGGAAGCTTTCGTCTGTGAAATGCCGGTTCTTCGAACCTCTGGAGGAGGAACACGCCGCTGCTGGTGTGGCCATAGCTCTTCGGGATTGGTCCATTTCGTTCCGGGTACGGCATGACATCAGGCGGTACCCGGAACTAAATGGAAGACTCAAATGGGCAGTGACGTATCTCCAACGAGGCGTTTTGGGGAGGTATTTTCTGTGTTAGAGTTTTACTCGCTACAGGGTGTACTTTGAGGGTTTTGACTCTGCACACCGTTTACATGCATAAAAACCTTCATAACACACAAGGGGACGGGTAATAACCGGAAAAGCATGACATGGGAGCTTTAAAGTATAAAGGCAGGCTACGAGTACCGGGTATTTAAGATCGTTTTTGAGTTATAATTATATATGCCTAGAAGTTTCAAGTTGGTCCAAAGCTCTATATGCTTCTTTAGTCTGCTGCTAGCTTTTTCTTAATTCTTCTTAAGTATTATTTAACATTGCCTGCATACGATCAATTGAATTGATCATATTCCCAGAGTTTGCAATGCTTTATACTTTGTCAATATCATTATAGTCTGACTGTTGATACATGCAGACTGAAGCATTCACTAGAAAATCTGTATTTTAATAGACTCTTGCAATATTATATGTCCACTGCTAAACCAATAATTAATCCTTGGATGAACCAAATGCTTAGCTCTGAGCTGCTGTATTTGTTATCCACCTGATAATGAAAGGTATTAAAGTTGACTGTAACACTTTCCTCTTACTCGTCATAAAGAGCTCTTCTTACTGTCTGTTGGACCAGCGCCACCAGAATCAACTATATCTCCTCTCCCAGGCTGTTTTTCACTGTCTTGTCTAGTCTCCTAGCAAATGCACGTATTAACATAAACCAAACATAATCAATAAAATATGAAGAATAACATCTAAGATATCAACGCCTGAAACATGTAGGCTAGTTTGCTTTTCATTGATTTAAATAGCAAGAAAAAGTGGGATGCAGACGGCAGTGAAAAATGACAAATGACAAATGACATCCAACCACAAGTGTAACCTGTCGGTATGTAAACATCCCTCAGAAGGATGAAATCACATTGACAAGGCCGGGGAAAGGAGGATTTTGTTCATATAATTAAGAAAACTGGGATTAAAACGTTTTCCCCTTATAACACGGCTTGGCGACCGGCTGTATCGATTCAAAGGAAAAGTAATACACTTCCTCAAGACCACAAAGGTCAAGAACAATGACGTTTCTACACCGATGAGAGGCAGCAATACACCAACGTGTGTCTACTCTGCCGGAAATAAACCAAAGAAGAAGCATTTCTGGGGCGGGGCGCGAGTTTGTGTTTGACTGCGTACATCACAACAGAAGAGCTGAAGACTAATGACTGGGTTTAGTTTAATGCTATTAAATTCATTTTTTGTGTAGTCTTTTTTCACGCCATTACCGTCTATCCAAGTCCGTGTCGTAGCTATTTGAGTTCAATACATTACATCGTTTCTCAAGCAATTTTGTATGCCAAACGTGTTACTTTTGCTTGTGTTGAATGCTAATAGTAGCTAGCTAAGTGTGTTAGAACCGTTATAACGCTAACGTTAGCCTCTGCATCAACGTGAGAAGTCTGACAGGATGGCCTCATCGGAGACAGACAGTGGGTGTCCCGGTGGTGAAGAAGGAGAGTCTTTTGTAAAACTGTGCGTGTTGGAGGGCTTCAGTGATAGCAGCGAGACCAAAGCTCTCATCGCCAGCCTGCCTGAGGTCCACGGGGACATGAAGACAATAGAGCGCGCCACAGAGAAGTTCTTAGGTGAGACAGGCATCCACAGACAACATGAAGCATAGCATGTCATTTTAACCGTGGCTTGTTCGCAATTCCTCACACTGTTTCCTCCTACA